TCAATTATTGCTTGTAGCTGTTCTTTTGTTAAAGCAATTCACAATGTGTCATCCATGTATACAAGTACTAAAAAGCTCTTTTTAATTACAGACTGGTTTGGTTTTATATATTAGTGTAGATTTTAAGTATATATCCAGTGTGGCTTGTTGCAATTTTTGTTATTAAAGAGTCATAGTAGATCCTTTATAATAATGGAGTGATTGTTTCACCTTGATCTATTCTGTCATATGCTGTATAATTTTTTGTGTTTCTGAGAGTTGTAATTATGTAGTTGGTTCTGTTTGTAAATATTTCAATAATGAGTTGTATTATTGCTATAAGTATTTTTATTCTTTGTAGTACTATTTTGAGTAGTAGTATATGAACTGAATTATATGCTTTAGACATGTTCTAGGATAGTAGCCAGAGTTGGTTGTTATTGCTATGTGCATCTTCTAATATGTGAGTAAGTGTATATATTGGTATTGATGTTGATGTGTTTGGTAATGCTACATAATTGTGAATATTTAGTATTAGATATTGAGTACAAACATTGCTAATCCTTTTTATTAAAATTTTAGTAAATATTTTTCTAGTAGGTTCTATTAGTGTTATAGGTCTTGTTTGATTTAATTGTCTGTTGAACTTTGGTTTCTTGGATATAGGGTATACTGCATTTTGTTTTCAAGTTTTTGATATTGTTTGAAAGATTATACATGCATTGAGTATATTTAGCAGAAGTAGTAAACTTTTATCTTAAAGTGCTTAAGCATTTTATTGCTTATTTGTTATGGCCAAGAAGCTTTGTTTAGTGGTGCTTCTTTTATAGCTGATCATAGTTCATCAGTTGATATAGTCTGCAATAGACTATTGTACCAATTTGCTTGTATATGTATTAGTAGTTGATATTCTGTTTGCTATTGTTTTCATAAAAAAGTATTAAGGTTGTTGTATTTTGTTTATGTTTCATAATCTTGTTGTATTTTTTGTTTAATTTCTTTGGTTAATGAGTATACTCTATCTTCTGTTTTAATGTTTTCAAAATGCACAAGATCTGTATATCGATTTAATATACTGTCAATCATTTTTGTTGTATTTGTTTGAAAGTTGTTATATTGATTATTTTATGTTGATTAATTTTTTCTTTGTGTACAATGTTATTCTCTGTTTGTTTTGCAGTATGTATTAGTTTTTGTTGTTCTTTGAGTTGTTGTAAAAATTGATTATATTATGTTTGTGTTAAGTTGGATTGGTTGACTCTTGGAATTTGTGTTTTTGCTAACTTGTTTATTTTTGTTATAGATGTATTTGTGTCTTTTGTATTTGTTATATTATTTTATTTTTTAATTTTCATATTAGTTTATTAATTTTTGTTAAAGCACTATGTAGTTTTGTGACTTGTTTTAAAAATGCATAATGTGTTTTTAAGCTTATTTTTGTTTTAAATATATGCTTTTTTGCTGCTATTATAATTACAGTACTAAGCTGATTCCAAGCTTTGTTAAGTTCTTGTGTATTTGTAATTGTCTCTAAGATTTTCATAGTAGATAATTATCGATTAATTTCTTGAGAGTAGTCTTTCCAAGTATCTTTTGTCATTTTTTTGTATTTATATATTCCATGTTTATGTCTTTTTCTATGTTGTGTTTTAATAGTTAAATTAATTTGCCAGTTGATTTTAAGTATTTGGTAATTACTGTTTGTTATTTCATTTGGTGATATTAGCTGAATTTTGTCACATTGGTAAAGAATTGTTGTTAGTATCCAAATATCATCTATTTGGCTATGTTTGTCTTGTTTAATTCATGTAAATTCTATTATATCAAAGTATTGTATTGTGCTTTCAAGTCCTTGTTTTTTCATCATTCTAAATATGTGTAGATTTTGATTAGGATGTTTTGATAAATTGTAGTTAAAGTCCCTTAGTACTATTGCATCATAGTTTCTATTTGTTGCTTCTATAACCTATATTGCTACTTTATTTTGTATGTCTGCATTAAGCTTTTTGTTATTGAAAGGCAGATATACTGAAATTATGCAAATGCATTTGTTATTAGGAAAATAAAAGTTTAGTGTAATGGCTGTACTAGGTAAAGTTATAATGTTGTGTATGTACAGTTGTAATAAGAGTATGATTGCAATTGCTATGCCCATGCTTGCTTCTTGTTTAATTGCTATTAGTATTACAGTTTTCTGTATTGATTTTATAGTATAAATTAAATAGTGTAAGTTTTGAGTATGTTGATTCTGCTAATTTGGTTTTAATCATACTGATAATATGATATTGTGATTTTTGACAGAATTCAAGCTATATTTGAAATTTTAGTCTGTTGTTGAGACCTTGTACATTGTGTATTATAATGTTTAGATTATCTGTTGTTTGTATGCTATTGTTGATATTTTTGTTAATTTGATGTTTTTGAGTTATGGTTGTTAGGCAAAGATGTTTCATATAGGTTCTGAGAATGGAGGTAGTTTTAGTAAGTAGTTGGGGATACTAGATATGTTGAAATGTTTTCAAAGTATTTCAAGAGTTGGTATTATATCTTGTTGTTTTTCTATTAGAATATTGATATATATTTCATCTGTAATTTTTTCTAATGCTTCTTAAAGTTTTACTAGTAATTGTGGCAGGTTAGGTTTTTTGATAATTTCTTGATTTGTTGTTGCCTTTTGAGTTATACTAATCCAGCTACTTGGAATTTTTGAAAAGTAGTATTCTTGTCTTAATAGTTTTGCTGTGTCTACAAGTTGTTTAAGAAAAGTAATTGGTACTGTAATATTAAATTGAGTTATTTGGTTGTAGTCTTCTGATAGTCTTAATTTGTCAGTTGGATTAGTCATCATAATGTCTGAACAGATTGGGAATGTGACTCTATATTTTTTCTTGACTTTTGTTAAGAACTTTTTTGCTTGAATGTCATCAGTTATAGGATATGTATATGTAAAGGTAGTCTTAATATCTTTGGGTTGTTTTGAAAGAAATGGCTTTTGTTTAAAATAATCATTAGGTATTGTTCTAAACTTGTAATGTTTGTAGAGTAGGTCTGCTACTTGTTGTATAGTCATTTTGTTGTTTTTTGAATTAAAAAAAAACAGTAATCATATATGGCAGTTTAGCTAGTAGTAAATTGTAAGTAGTAATTCTTTTTCTGAAGGTAGTGTAAAGTAATTGGAAGGTATTCTTGTGAAATTATAGTAGTCTGCTAACTTATTTTTAAGATAGCTAAAATTTGCTAGTTGTTTTGGGTCCGTAATTAAAAAGTATTGCTTTAGTTTTTCTTTTAACTCAGAAACATTTTGTAGTAGTTTAGATAGGGTTACGAAGTATGCATCAGGCAAAGTTATAAAGTTGAATAGAATATGAAGAGTAGTTGCTACTGCTCTTGTTAGTGATTTTTTTTTAATTGGTAATTCAAATGATAGGATTTCTGTTATTTCTGCATCTATGTTTTGGGGCATATCTGGTAAATCTTGTTTCTTTTCTTCATATGCTTGATATATTGCTTTTTGTATATGTTGGTTGTCTTGTATAGATGTTGCTTTAATAAAGTTTCTGCAGTATTTTATAACTTGTATTGCTTGGCCAGATTTAAGGTTTTTGAAGTTTAGGTTAGTAAGATATTCAATAATTAATTTTTGTCAAAGTTTAAGCTATATCTGATCTTTAGTTTGTTTGTTTGTTAAAGTAACTTTGTGTTATATTTTATATTTGTTAACTGTATTTCATAAAAGGTCATCAAATTCTACTTGGTAAGCTGATTTGATTTGTTTGTTGTTAGTAAAAGATAAAAAGAAAGCAAGATTATGATATTTGAATTTAAGAAAAATTGTTGCAGGTATCTGGTAATTTGTAGGTTGTGTGTTTAGTTTATAGGAAATAAAATCTTTGATTCCTTTATTATTATTTAATGCCATAATAGTTTTGTCAATTGGCTAGGAGTTGTGATTGAATTGGTCTTTGATCTTGTTATCTAGTTCTTGTATTACATATTTAGACTAGCTTTGTGTAACTTTATAAGTCTCTTGTTCATTGATTGTCATCTCATTTATATTTGTATATTGTTTTAGTGCTTGACTATAGGTAAGTTGTTGTTGATTATTAGCTATTTGTGTTGTTGTTGTGTTTGTATTGCCTGTTAGTTTGGGTTGATTGTTGTCAGTACTTGTAGTTTGTATGTTATTTGTGTTTTTTACACCCTTATTGTGAGTTTCCTGTTGCATGTTTATATCAGGTGTTTGTGTTGTATTATATTGTGATTTTCTTTCTAAGATGTTTGTTGTGTTATGATTAACTGTTTCTGTTATGTTTGTGTTGTTCTTACTATTTATAGTAATTGTTGTTGTATTGGTGTTTACACATGAAATTGTATTGTTTTTTGGCAAGGGTATGCTAAATTGCCCACTTTTTCGAGTATTTTGATATTGTGTAAGAGTTTTAAGAGGGTTGAAGTGACATTTCTTTTGTTGAATATTTGTTGTTTGTTTAGGACCTGTTTTACTATTTTGTTTATTTATAGTATATATGTTTAAGTTAGAGTTAGGAGCATATATTGGCATATAGTTATCTATTTGTTGTTCATTTGGTTGCTGTAACAAAACCAGGTTCTTGAAGAACTAGTTTGTTGTTGTTTTTTTGTTTTTCTGTAATAGGTGTTTATTCTTATTATATTAGATGTTTCTGTATCTATTGGCCTTTTGTTTTTGTTAGCTACTCTAAATTCTTCTTCTAAGATAGTTATTTCTTTTACTTTTTACTTTTGCTTTTTTGATTTTTTGTAATTTTTAATGATCAATTAACCAATAAAATTACATATAAATCATATAAATAAGTTATATAATATTTGAATATCATATTCAATTAGTAAATTAATTAATTAAAATTTTATATAATATTTTGCTTTTATATATATATTGTATTAGTTTGACCAATAAATAAAATAGTTTTTTTAATAACAACTATAGAAAATGGTACTAATATAAGTTTTATAGTAAGTCTTCAACTATTAGAATCTAAATTTTAAGGTAGATTGCTTTGATATCCATTGAGTGCTAATAATTTTTCTAAAAAAAGAGTGTTATAAATTTTTTGTAATGTTTTTTAATTGTAACTCAATTGCAGAATAATTTTCTTAATAGCAACTATAGAAAATATTACTAACAAAAGTTGTAGAATAAGTTTTTAACTATTATAATCTAAACTATAAAGTGGATTGCTTTGATATTTATTGAGTATTAATAATTTTTTTAAAAAGAGAGAGTTACAATTTTTTTGTAGTATTTTTTTATTGTAACTCAATTGCAGAATGATTTTCTTGATAATAATTATAAAAAATATTACTAACAAAAATTGTAAGATAAATCTTTATCTATTACAATCTAAATGTTGAAATGGATTGGTTTGATATTTATTAAGTACTAATGAGTTTTCTAAAATAAGAAAATCATAAATTTTTTGTAGTGTTTTTTTATTATAACTCGATTATAGAATAATTTCTTGATAGAAACTATAGAAAATGTTACTAACAATAGTTGTAAACTAAGTTTTTAACTATTAAAATCTAAATTTTGAAGTAGATTGCTTTAATATCCATCAAGTACTAATGATTTTTCTAAAAAGTGTATATTACAAATTTTTTGCAATATTTTTTATCATAACTCAATTGCAGAATAATTTTCTCAATAGAAACTATGAAAAATATAACTAATAAAAGTTATAAAAAAAGGTTTTTTTTATTAGAATCTAAAGTTTCAGCTTTATTGCTTTGATATTCATTGAATACTAATAATTTTTGTAAAAAAGAAGCATTTATAAAATTTTTAATAGAGAATACTTTAATAAAATATTTTACAGATTAATTATTAGTATTCTAAATCTATTTTATATTAATAATAAAAGTTGTAAAATATACTTTTGTCTATTAAAATATAAATTTTCAGATTTTTGAGTTAATTTTTATTAAGATATTGATGATTTTTATTTTTGTTTTATAAATAAATTTGATTTTAATAAAAATATGATGATTAATCAAAGTTATCATTTTTACATCTGATTTTAAACAGTTTACTGCATATTAATTTTATTGATAGAGCATATATATAAGATTTTTCTCTAAAAATTTTAATTTATTTTGACAAAAACTCATAGAAATATCAAATTTTTTTATTTAAAAAATATATACAAATTTTCTTTTTTAATTTTTATAGAAATATTTATATTAATTTAAAGACTACACTTAAATAAAGTATGTTATATAAGGATAATGAAGTTGATATAGATGACTTTCAAGAGTTTGCATATCAAATTTTAAATAAATCAGATTAATATTTATAAAAATAATTCATTTTTTGAAAAAATATCTTTGTAGATTCTTATTTTTTCTTTATAACTTAAAAGTATTCACAGGTCCAAAACAACATTTTGAATATTACTTATAGATACTTTTTACTAATTAGTAAATTGATTGGCTCGGAATTATTTTTATATTTTAATTTTCTTTATTTTATTTTAGCAAAGTATTTACTAGTAATTTATTACTAAAAATTTTGCTTTAGCCTAGCTTGCAATCTTATTGACTGAAAAAAGTACATCAGCTGAAAATACAATAATCTGATTGGCTTAGATAAAAAAATCATATGAAAAATAGGTTGGCTCAATTTGCTATCTAATTAGTTAATATTTTTGCTTTGGCTTAAAAAGAAAATTCTGAATATAATTTTTTTTTGTCTTTATTTAATTAGTTTTAATTTATTTATATTAAAAAAATAAGATAAAAATTCTAGAATGCCAAGAATTTTATTGCCAAAATGAAATTACTATTTAAATTAATTATAATTTAATTTATCATTCTAAATACTTTTAAATTTATTATAGATTTGTCATGCTTCTGATTAGATTTTAAAAATAATTATCTGTTTTTTGTTTTTAATAAATTTGTTTATATTTTGTATTAACAAATTTTTCTTTGTAATTTTTTTTTTTTAAAAAAAAAATATATTAACTTTATTATACATATTTTGATCATATTTCTAATAACTAATAAAAAATATTTAATACTTTATCTAAAAATGTAAGTGCAAAGTAGCATTTTGCTAAAGATGTCTTATTTGATTTATCATTTGATATATAAATAAGTAACTGATAAAGATGATATTTCTAATGTCTAGTCAGTAATGAGTATGAAATTATTCACTTAGATTCAATTAAGTCTATTATTTTTTATATTTTTAGAAAAAAATTTATTTAGATATTTTATGCAAAGAGATAAGACAAAATAGTATTTTGCTAAAGATGTCTAATTTGATTTATTATTTGATATATGAATAAGTAACTAATCAAGATAATATTTCTAGAGGAAAGCTACAGACACAACATTCATATGACATACTGTTTATCAGTACAACAAGATCGACCAATAAGAGGCTCGATTATTTTAAACTAGTCAGTAAAATGTAAATTAATTATTAATATAGTCATTCAGTTAACATCTATTTGAATGTAAAAATAGATTTCTTTAATCTATTAACTCAGAGTATTAATAAGCATGATCTCAACCCGAAGACGAAGCCAGAGCTAAAACTGGAAGCTATTAACTATTAAGATAGTTTAATTATTTATCATAAACTAATTTTGCTCTGTGTTTATTATATATAACATTTAAAAAAATATAACCTTGTTTTGCACTTTCATATAATAATAGTTTAATCCTTTTTTTTTGTTTTATTAACATAAATTTTAATGCATTTTTATATAAGTTTTAGTAATAAATTCTTTATTTCTTATAAGAATGCATAGTGTAATTGTTTATATAAAATAAAATTTTATGAATAGCTTTGACCAGTAGTCAACAAGACCATGTTTGTGACATATTGGAACATGTTGTACATTAACCATTGGCCAATTCACTCTTGCATAACTTTTCATATTTATATAAACAATATGGTTGTTATTAATAAAATATAAGATAATTGGATTTTTTCTATATGTTGGTGGCATTTCTAATAGAAAAAATAGCATACTTTGTTCATTTTGCTTATTGAAAATGGCAATAGGAACAGAAAATATATCAGCAGTCAATTGTGCACAATTAGAAGATAGAAACCAAAGAGAAGATGAGCATGGCGATGCTCTGCATCTCAATATCTGATTAAGTAAATCAGTATCATAACCCAGCCAGTTTTTATAAATCTCTATATGCTTGGTTAATTAACCGCTCATAGCCAATTTTACAAAAATCCAATTCTCTTCATTTCCTCTAATAGCAACTGCAAGCGATCAAAATTCACAATTACCATCACTCTTCGGATTATAAACCTCATTTATATCATCAACAGAAATCCTGAAACTTAATTGAAATCTTAACCTCTAAACTAAATAAAAAAAAATAATAATAAAAATCAAATAAAATAATAATAAGACAATTTCTATTTGTACTCTGGTATATAAAACATGGATACATATAATAACTTAAAATTTTGATTATAAAACCACTCTTCAGTCTCTAATGCTAACAAAAAAAATCAGTATAAAATTTTAGTATAACCTATATGCTGACTTCAACCCTAACCTATCTTTAATATAGTTTATTTGTTTCTTTAAATTTTATATTATATTTAAACAACAAATTATACTCGTGTTTTATATATTAGCAAAATTAAGAATTTCTAATAATAAATAATTATTGTAAAATTATTTATATTACCCCTACTAGAAATATTTTGTGGTAAATTAATACTATCATTTTGCTTTTTTTCAATAGTTTTAACTTTTTTCTTCTTTTCTGCTTGTTCTATAAGTTCTATAGTAATTGACAGTCATTTTGTTCCAGAAGGTCAGCCTTTTCTTATAATTTTTTCAAGAACTTCAATTTCAGAGAGGTTAATTACAGGAACTATCAGAATCTCATTAAGTTTTTCCAAAAGAGTGAATCTTTGCTGTTCATCTGGAAAGCTTATATAATGATTTTTAATTTCATAAAGTTGTGACTTACATAAAAAATAATTATCAGAATCAGAAACTTGCAGATTAGTTAAATTTTGCACTTGGTGATTAGCATATAGTCGGTCTTTATCAGGAAATAGTAGCCATCTTGTCAGAATAATAGATAACATTACAGAGCCTTTTGCTAGAAGCAAATGTCTACAAGATATATTATAATTAACACATAGTTCATAAAGACAGACCTCATATGTAGTCGCTTTGAAAAGTTCATTCTTAATTCTATTTAAAGCAAACCATGCCACTTTTCCTAAGAGTAAAGCCAGTCATTCTTTGTCATTATACACTAATAAAGGATCAATGCCAAAACTTTCATTTTCATTTTGTAAAGAATTCTCCTCGTGATGTAAATTTAACCATCTATCTAAATAGTTAAACACTCTCATTAAACTTCCAGAAGTTTCAAGTACATGCTTTATTGCCAAATGTGTGCCCTCAACATGTTGCATAGTTGTTGCACCAAAGTGCATAATTCTACTTGTATAAATGCCAATCCATTTTTCTCTAACTTTCATCATTCTTAAAAAAATTATATATTAGAAATCTGCAGTTATTAAGTAACACTAATTATAAATACTACACTATTATTAGTTAAAGATAATATATAAGCACTAGCAAGAGAAAACTACAAACTGAAAAATTCTAGTCAATAAATAATTGACAATAATTTTTAGCTTGAGGTTTTTTCTTAGCGATACTCATATAACTAACTGATTATTCATCAGAATACATATTACAATTAGCGATGCAAGTTGTAACTCAATTACAATAATATAAAATCCATATTTTAATAAAGTATATTGAGTTGACTAGCACTACTTACACAATGTAGAGCCCGTAATGAATAAATCAGCAATTATTATCCATAACGATAATTTAATGTGAATACCAAACAAAAAACAAAAATCTTGCATATAAAAAAAAATTTTAAAAATATATTGTTATATAATACTTACCTTCCAAAATATTTTAACACTTCATTTTCATTTAAACTTAATAAGGCCAACTTATTATAAGCTGTTATTGCAGTATCTAATGCTTCACAGTCTCTTGAATGAATGAAACTATCAACAATTTTAATTATTTTATCAAATGAATCATTATTAAAATACTTTCTTAAATTTTTTTTGAAATTATTTAGAACATGCCAGGTACACAAAAGGTGTTCAGATCTAGAAAATATCTTTCTAATAGCATTAATAAGTGCAGCTTCATTGTCAGTAACAAACACGTAAGAAAAAATATCAAAAAAAATCAAAGAGGCAAATTGTTCAATGATCCAAGTATATGATTTTTCAGATTTATCAGAGATCTAAGCCCCAGCTATACCAAAAGTTTGTAAGTGATTAACTCCAAGATTACTAATGCCAACAAAGTTTACAAATAGCAATTTGTAAACATTTGTTTTGTAGATTGCATTAATTAAAACTATCTTTGAAAAATGTTTGGCATTTTTAACTGATTCTTCATGACAAAAAAATAGGTGCTTAATTTGTCTGTCTATATTAAGTAGTATATAATATTGATACTTTTGAATAAGAATGAAATAAAATAAAATAGATATAAAAAAAACCTCCTTTTATAAGTTTTACACCATGCAGTATATCCTCTGTCTTCCATACCCATTATTAGTACTTCCATTGAGGCTGTTTCTTCCAAAGAATGAATTCGTGTACTTAAGTTTGATATATCCTTTCTTGTGACAGTTGGTGTTATATCTTCATCTCTAACAGCTCATAAATCATACTAGGCTTAGCTCCAGCTTAGCATTTTTACAGCAGTATGTCTTGCATCCCATATTAATTAATGATGCTCATGAAAAACCCAAATATCTTTAGCCATAGCATAGTTATACTCATTTACAATTTCTACAACACACCATTTAGAATTATCTGGAATAGCTTTTAAAAAATATGGGCATTCACAGTGTTTACTTATCTTTTTTCTTTTTTGAGTATTTACAGTTAAATTTCAATTATTTCAGAATTTGCTATCATGTTTGCATTGAAGATTTATATAATAGGAGCTACTACTTTTGATTGTTATAGCAAAACCTAAATTTTTGGCATTCTCTTGAGCAGCATTAAGAATATCCTTTTTTGTATCATAATATTGCCCAACCATTATCGAAGCTGGTAAAAAAAATATATATATATATTAGTTATAATAATCACAATATATTAAAAAGTTGTTCGTAATTGAATGATATAAAAATTCAGAATACTAAAATTCTGATCTTATAGTTACGAAAAATCCTAATATTTCACATAATACATGAACTAATTCTAATAGTTATTGGAACTAGAATAACTGTCTCTACAATTCTCATTAAGATCTTAAAAAAGTTTAGTAAAAAATATATTTTTCACTATAAACTAGTAGCATTTCTAACTATATAAAGTTCTAACCCTTTTTATTATAAAAGTTACTATTTTAATTTTTTTCTTATAAAGAACTATATAATTTTTACTTTTTGCACTAGGTACTTTCTCAGTAGACCTAATGCTTTCTTTCTTGAAAGCATGCTTGCTAATATCTTTTAAAGTTGAACTGAATGTATCATCGCTGCTGTTCAACACATTATTCAAGTCACTTGTATTTCCAAGATTGCTCATGTTTATAATGTCTTTTAAGTAAAGTTGATGTTGGTGAATATTAAAAGCAGAAAACACAGTATCATAAATATTCAAAGTTACCTAGATGATCAATTTATATATATTAATCATATAAAAAGTCAATTTATATAACATGTAGATAGTCAATTTACATAATGCATTGATAATCGATTAGTCACGTTAAAATAATCAAGGCACTTATTGGTCAATCTTGCTGTATCAATAAATAGTATATTATGTGAATGTTGTGTCCGTAGCTTTCCCCTATTTCTAATATTTAGTTAGTAACAAGTATGAAATTCTTACTTAAATTCAATTGAATCTAATATTTTTTATTTTATTTAGAAAGTGATTAATTTTGAAGGTTCAAGAAATTTAAACAAAAAAAAAAAGTTAAACAAGAAAATAAATTTATTGATTACAGAAAACATGAAATGAAGGTGTTTCAAACAATAAAAAAAATTTATAAAAAGCTTAAAGGAATTTCAGATATTAACAAAAATAATTCAGATTTCCAATATCTGTTTTTTGAATATTATCAAGTCTTTAGTAAATCGAATTTTTTAAATCAATATGACTGTTGTTGTATAGGATATATTATGAAACCAAAAAAGAAGATTCAATTGAAACATATTAAAAAAGTTGTTCAAGATGATCTTAAAGAAGGTATTAATATAACTAGTAATGTTGGATATATTGCTATAAATGCAGAAATAACCAAATTTGCATTTAAGTATTGTAAACTTAAACACATTATTATTCTAAAATAATTGATGATGTAATAATATTATACAAACTAAAATTTAATAAAAATTTTAATTTTTTATTTAAGTATTAAATTTTATTTAAAATAGTTATTGGTAACTTTTTAGTATTTTAAATATTTTTATTTTATTTATTTATTTAAATTATAAAAAAATAAAAAAATATGCTAAATTTAGTTTTTTTTTCAAGTTTTTCCTTTTTTTTATGCTTTGTTATTTTAGAATTATTAAATGCTAATAAGAACATTAATGTAAATCTTCAATTATATAGTCAATTTTATCTTTTTCTTTATGAATTTTACTAAAACGCACCTATAGTGTTTTACACCTATGCATGCATTATCTCAAAAACTGACTAATTAATCAGTACAAGGTGTTCTAAGTAAAAATGGTCTACACTCCTGAAAACCCTTCCCAAACCCTAATACTAACTTAAAAACTATACTAACATGAAAAAATTTAAGTCAAAAATTTCTATAACAAAACTTATAAAAACTTGAAAATTTTAAAAAACATAATAAAAACATATAATAGGTGCAAAACACTATAGGTGCATTTTATAATAATTGTTCTTTATATTCTTTGAATTGAATTCTTTTTTTCTTAGTTCTATGTAATCTGTTTTCTAATTTTTTTATTACCTCAGAATATACAATTATGTTGATATATAAATTATTTTCAATTCTGTAGTTTGTTAATTTGAATTTTTTAATTCATAAATTAAAATTATGATTGTAATATTATATATTATTACTTTTTTCAATTAAATTATATTCTCCAATTATGTATACTATCTGCTCAAAAATAATATCTAAATTAAATTCAATATCAAATTGAAGATTAATAAAATGTTCATAACTCTTTCCGATGATCCCTCATACCAACTTTTTCAAAAAGACAGACCTATGAAAACTATATAGTTATTATATTAAATATAACAAAACTC